TTAACGTAACACTCCATTAGGAAACGTAAGAATTTTCAACGATCAATTGTCGTGCCCTCAATGTATCTATTACGTATGCGTTTCACTCGTCTGATTCGATGATAAAAAAAAATTAGCCGAGTGTGGTGAAAGCATGGGAATCGTTTGAAGTGCACATGTTATAAAAATACCTCGAGTTGTGATGACTCTTTTTTTTTTTATCAAACGGTCCATTTAACAACTGCGGTCGTTTTTTAACTTCATACCACTCAATCCGCTTTTCTCACATCTTGTTGCTTGAAATGAGTCCCTTTATAAAAATTGTTAAACCGAAGACTATTTGCTCTTACCACCCCATGAAACTCGTAAGCCTCATTGATGAAAGTGCACAGGATTTCGATATCGATTTTCAATTTACGGAATGTATGTGTCTACATGGCCGCTATTATCATCGTCGCCAATGTTTATTGTAGTAGGAAACTCCTCTAACCGCTCGGAAAGGAGATCATTTCCGCACGTTACTTATTTTCCCTTTATCGCCGAAATCACGCGCTCGAAATGGGTCCCATTTATTACCGGCTTTTAACTGATGTGCACAGAATTTGCATAGTCCTGCCGCCGCGGAGGGCACATTTTAGAGCTCAATTTAGTCGGAAATAATTCTAGCGTAAGAACGTTGAGGAATCTCTCCGCGGGCTCCGCGGAAGGTGCATCGACTGGCTTAAAGGGGTTAAGCAAACCCTTTGTCCCGCGAAAATGTGCAGTAATATGCGTATTGTCTGTTTGCTTTCTGGGCAATCCCAGTTCTTATGCCGAGATCGAGGTCCTATACGGAATTAGAACACGGATGATTAAGCCTTACCTAGACGCTCCGCGACGTCGTCGCCGATAGTAAGAGGTTTTATCAGACGCGTCCGCGGGATAAGGAAATTTGAATAATCAGATAATCCGTGCAAAAGCTGCCAGGAGCATCGAACGAAATACTAATAACTACGATACGAGCAAAAATGTTGTCGAGTAACTTTTGCCGAGCGAGACGTACGGCATGGGCGCAGCCTTCGGCGATGCATTATCCATAATCCCCGGGGATGACGTCGCGGGGATCTCATTAGCTGATACAGCTAAATGCAAAATGGAAGCGTGGACCATGGGCTTGATCGCCCGCGGAAATCCGAAATTCATCATTGACTTTGATCGAGCTGGAATTCCACGCGGCACGCCTCGCGTTTTTAAACATTTTTACTTTACCAACGCATTTCATTCTTGATTATTTACATGTAAACATTTCACTTCAGTAAGAGAACAACTATTTTCCGATTAACAAAGAAATGTTGTTGAATATTATGCAACGTTCGTCAGGATTATATAAATTAAGCTTGTTTTCCATCACTGGACAAACAAATTAATAATTTGGGACAATGAATTCTCTCAATGCAGCGCTAATTCTAATATTATTCCACATACATTTCCACATGCTATTCGCAATTTACATTATCTAGATACATTATCTAGATTTGTTCATTCAACGTTTATTTTTTTGACAGATTCAATCTAGACAATCGAGATAAGCGAATCCTAAAATTTCTTTGTAAAGTTGCGATGTTATCTCCCGGCTGTGCGCGGCGCGACAGTAAACAGCCAGGAAAATATCGAATCGGAAGGAAATCAACCGCGGATTTCATGAGACCTGGGAAATTAGTATCGCGTATATACGTATAATAAGTGCGAGTAACGAAGGAGCAGGCACCGAGAGGATGGCGAGGGATAGTAACGAATCGCCCAGGTCAGGAACAACCAAGGGTTTGCTAGCTTCTTACGGCTAACATCTTGTCGAGAAACTCTCGTCGAATTTGCAGAGAACGTTTCTGAGAGCGTGGAAGATATCTTGTCGCGGAAACAACGGTTTCTTACGGCCGGGGCGTTGCCAGTACAAGTTTATTCGCGCCGGAAAAAGTAGTTTGCTCTTGGGAAAAAAACTTCTAGATAGTTGATCTCTCGCTGAGAGGATTTACCCTCCGATTTATTCGCCGAAAGTCTTTTAATTTTATTATCATATAAATTTTTTATTTGTTAATAAGTAGCTATGTAACTATTCATTTGCAATGTATAATGTGCGCGCTTGCGACATTCAATTTGGAATTATTAAAAAAGCACATTCATCAGCGGAATATCTCGACTGGAAAAATGCAATAAAATGATAAAAAATTCTTTCTGCTGATAAGTAAATTCTAAATTTTCGATGAATTCGAATGGAAAAGCGGCTGCAATTGATACGCTCTTATACTTATACAACTTTCTATTTTTCATCAAGTGACGCAGTTATATATGTATGGAGTATCTTCGATAATATGAAAATTGATAAATTACAGTTTTAATGACATGACATATCACGGAAAGAGACAAACGGTTTAACTCCGGCGTATAATTACGAATATTATTATCATTAAACACCGTAACGCAGAGACACGTATATCATATATCGCGTATAATAAATCTCCTTTAATTCTACTAATGCTAAAGCGTGCCGAAAGCGCTTGGGAATTTTTAATTGTAACAGTTCACGCAATGTACTCGTATTTTATAGTAACTTTATTCCAAATAGTTGACGTTTACATCGTACATTCGCGGCTTGATATTTCCTAAGGTTAATCTGCGCGCCGCTACTATCACGGACACGAATAAATTTTGTACAACTGACGTGCGCTCTTACGTGGCGGATATCAATATGCAGTCGTTATCCTTTAATACCCCCATAGCCCGACATCGTAAGCGGCGTTAGCTCACACGCGCGATCTCGCTTATCCTATTGTACATTCGCGATGCGCACGTATGAAGCAACGAGAACGAGGCAGTTTTCTCATCCAATGTATAAACCAATATAATTCTAAAGAGATACAAAAAGTAAAAGATGATTTTTCCGTCTATCTTGTGTTTATATCAAACGCTTTCATTATAAAACATCGACGCTATAACATTTATACAGAATGTTCGGTAAGCCGAGATCAATCACTCGAGAGATGAATGGGGAAACGAGAAAGAAAGTTGATATGAACGTAGATCCGGAAATGGATTCTTTTCGAATTGTCGCCATTTTTATGTTGAAATTTCAAGTTGCTTCGCTCTCGAATTTTTTTTGTCAAAATTGAAAGAAGAGATGGTCTTTGTGAGTTTTACAATATAATTAAAGTTAAATAAAAGTTGCGGACTGCTTTAGCACTGCACAGGATGCGCCACGTACAGTCCGCTTTTAGCATCTCTTGACAGAAATCAAGACTTCACAGTTGTGCATTTTTCTGAGTAATGCTAAAGCAGCCCGCAACTTTTATTTGATTTTAATTATGTTATAAAACTCACAGAGATCATCTCTTCTTTCAATTTTGACAAAAAAATTCAAAGCAATTTCAATATAAGAAATTTTAAGAAATACAAGAAATTTCAATATAAAAATGGCGATAATTCGATGTATTTTTAGATTTATGTCTATATTAATTTTTTTTTTTCTTGTTTTTGGATTTCCAATCACCTCTCGAACGATTGACTTTCCCCTTTTGAATTATTCTGTATATATAATTTGAATATAATGATCCTGAAATAGTTCTAGTTGAAAGAGGCAAATCAATCATCTGTAATTATTAAGATATTTGTCACATTTTTGAAGAATTTTATAAGGTTAGATTACTTAATTCTATTTTTCCTTTTTAAATTTTGAATATTTTAAATAATTTTTGCATAAAAGAGTTTTCACCGCGTTAGTTCCATTATTTTTTCTTCTTTCGCAATCATCCATATTTCTGTACAAGACTTATATAGACTGTGTTAAGAAGAACAACTTATCGGAATTCCATGTATTATTTGATAATAGGATTTGTTATTTGAGTGACATATTTATTGTAATTTTATGCATCGCCCGACAGATATAATCGCGGTACCTGGCAATGGCAAATTATGACCTCTCTGAAATATCTGTTTGATAATATGTTTTTTTATCTCTATAATTTTGTTTTTAATGAATTTGTTGGATATTTTTCTGCGAGAAGATTAATGTTCAGTCTTTTCGATTTTATGATCCCCACGGATCAGTGCATCAGCTTTTAACTTAAATTCGGCACTTATCCGACGTGTTAATTTGTGCTTTTATATTTATTACTGAGGTAAAATAGTGAACACCAACGGGGTTTAAAGTGAAATAGAAATACATCATCATGAAATATATCATGAAATGAGTTGAAAAATTAATTTTCAAGTAATATTTCATTCTAAAATTACAATGTGCAGGAAAAATAACGTAGAAAAAGATTTGTATATGAATATATGATTAATACAAACTTATAACAGTTAAAGTTTTTCAATAATTTCATTTTATATTATATTTAAAAAGAATTTTATATTTTACCTGTCGGTTTCATTTTTTAGCATAAAATTTACACCATTGAAAATTTTTTCAGTTAAGTAGTACATTTCTGCCATTTTCCGAATTATTTTCTCTATTTAATATCCCCGATATTCGATACCATCCCTGCTCGTTCGATTATCATCGTGGAGGAGCACAGGTGTAGCTTGTTTGAGTATATCACGCACATAATACGAACGGCGTTCTTTTTGTTATTCTTCGCGCGGCTTGGTTTAATTCCCTCAGTTAGCAGAAGTCGCGACTCGCCC